GAATCGATTTTAATCGATAAATCGATTATAAAAACCCACCCCTCTATAAGAACCATTTACCACTGAGATGTTCACTGATTGCTGTAAATTTGTCAGGGATTGAATGAGATCAGAAAGTTTTATTTCTAAAGAGAAAAGTTTAGTTATTATTGAATTATGAAATACTTTGTGGTTTGTTAGTCTCACTGTCCGTGTTTGAACTCAAAACATTTCCTTTCCTGAGGTCAACATTACACTGCTTATGTCTGTGTGAGCATCTGTCTACTCTCTGTGTTGTAAGAACAAGTTAAACTTGGATAGTTGCTGCTCAGTTTGCAGAGGAATTGAGCACCATGAACACAACAGCACTGCAGGAGGGCAGCACTTCTGAATGAAAGTGTATTTGCTCAGGGGAAGTATGACTAGGTGGAGGCACATCATGGAGCATCAAGTTTAGGATCAGTTAACAGATCTTCTTTCATATTTATGTGATAATCATCAAAGTCAAGATATTATAAAATATACTGATACATTTGAATGTGATAGTGTCCCCATCTCTCTGTCTGTTTACAGCAAATGGACAATGCTGTTTATACGTTTGAGCAGATCCTTCACCAGAGTCTGGAGTCTCAGGGCGGTGAGGATCTCTGTAAGACCATCCAGCGCTGCCAGGACAGAGTTATCAAGGTAAAACATGATCAGTAAACCTGTTAGATCACCATTTTATCCTAAACAGAAACATGGGAAGAGGACTGGGGTGGTAGATTTGAAGGTTGGTGGTTGGATTCGCTCCACTTTACAACATCCATATAGAGTGAGCATATTAATCCATCTTCCTCTGCTCATCCTGGGCCGGGCCCAGAACACCTCACCCAGGACGCTCCCAGCATCCATCCTCGTCAGATGCCCGAACCACCTCAGCTGCCTCCTTTCGATGTGGAGCAGCAGCGGCTCTACTCTGAGCCCCTCCCGGATGGCCGAACTTCTCACCCTATCTCTAAGGGAGAGGCCAGCCACCCTTCAGAGGAAGCTCATTTCCGCCGCTTGTATCCACGATCTCGTTCTTTCGGTCTCTACCCACAGCTCGTGACCATAGGTGAGGGTAGGGACGTAGATCGACCGGTAAATTGAGAGTTTCACTTTTATGCTCAGCTCTCTCTGCACAGACCGGTACAGCATCCACATCAGTGCAGCCGCAGCACCAATCCATCTGTCGATCTCCCTTCACCCATCACTCGTGTACAAGACTCCACGATACCTGAACTCCTCCACTTTGGGGCAGGAACTTGTGGCCTGTTGAGCCATCAGGGTAGAAGTGGCTTGGTCAGGGAGGTCACCACGAACCTGATGGTCTCTCTGAGCTCCGTCGCTGCCCCGTGGAGAGAGAAGAACCATCCAGAAGGACAATTTCTGCCGCAAAAATGCTTCAGCAAGGGGGAGGAAGACTGGAGATGGGAGGAGGACGCAACACATAACGGCAGTGCTCGGTGCCTATTGGGTCTAAGAGCAGACCACAGCAACCTCTGAACTGGGACCAGTAACCATCACAGTGGCAGACATCCAAGAAAGGGCCAAAAACCTTCGTCTGTACCACATGGAAGCTGCTGTCAGGCTTCATAGCGTCGGGAACACTTTCCACATATACTGCATTTGTTCAAAATGAAGTTACAACTTATAGTTGCCATCTGACGCACACACACACACACACACACACACACACACACACACACTAAAGCTGTCCTTTTCCTTCCTTCCTGTGGGTCAGAAATTTGACTATGACAGCAGCACAGTGAGGAAGTGTTTCTTCCGCGAGGCTCTCTTGCAGATCTTCATCCCCTACATGCTGAAGCAGCTCAACCCTTGCTTTGTATCTGTGAGTACATCAGCTTTTCTC